CGAGATGTTTCCTTTCCAAGTAAATAACAATGTAGAAACTACGGATACAAACAGGTTTTGCCTAGCTCGGATCGCTTTCCTTATTTGTCTCTATGAGAGAGACTCTATGTACTAACCATTTGGAATATCAATCTCAAGCGCAACCGAAGTTCGTATGTCCAACAACGTGCCACGTTGCGAATGGTATAGCACCACCACCAAGAAGCAACAATGGCAAATTGACTTCTTCACAAACTCTACACACTGGGCGTGGCCTGCAATAACAGACATACCTAGTCAATGGTGAAATAATCTGTTGCTTATCGAATACTTGCCCTGTTGTCTCCTGTTCCTCAAATATATGTAAGATTTACAAAGAATCAAGGACAATCAATGACAAAAATACATAGCACGGGGTAACATTTAAGATTTCACAAAAATTTCAGGCACTGATATAAATGTCATAAAAAATAAGAGTTTAGAGTTCGTTCCTGGGATATTTGTTTCCAAGAGGCAGTGCCATAAATGTATCAACACAATTTACGGTCTGATATTTGACACAACTTATTGCGCTACTTGACATTACCCTTAGTCTGGATACAATCTTTCATATTGTATGTGTTTGTATTATTTATTTTGTAAAGATAAAAAGTTTAAAAACTAATGAAGAACTTAATAGAAAAACAAGTTTCCGATAAAATATTACGGAAATATTTCGGAATAACCTCGATTGTTGATCACCGTCAAAATTTTAGATGTAAAAAGTCCACATAAACAGCACTAATATGGTAAAACCTTCATGTAAACAATAATCTCGCCTCAATCCGAAATATACGTAATACGAAAAACGTTTAAGGCATTCTGTCCCCATTGTCCACATAATTTCTTTTCATGGCCACGGTATTCAACACATTGATGGTTTAATTTGCAAACAACCAATCGGAATGAAGAACACCACAGCGTACTCTCCCGGAGAGAGTTTTTGTGAATTTTTGGTGTCAGACGTCTTAATCAGTTTCAATGATATAGAGATGAGACAATTTTAGTTGTGTTCACCCATAATAAGAAATGTCAGATGATTGAAAGGCAGAGGAAGACCCTCCAATGGCGAGGCTTTCAAGTAAGAATTAGCCTATCACGGAGGGACACGTTGCCTTTAAGTAACAAAAATGACCCTTAATTTGTACTTCCCTTAATTGTTGGGCGACTGAACATTTCCGCTACCAAGTAATTAACAAACATAGACATGACAATTTGTACCGAATGTCCAATTTTTGGCAGTAACTTCAAATCTATATAATAATGATGACAGAACTTGCACTCGGAAACAGACGTTTAAAGAGGGGTTGGGGTAGTGCGAAACTTGAACTCGGCACAGCAAGAAGACTTGGACACAGCACAATGCTTGAATCAAAGGTTCTCTAACATACCACGAAGAGACAAATTGAAGCAGCCAAGTCGATCACCGGAGAGAGAGTCAGCTCCACACTGGAGAACAATGGCATTTGGCTGGTAGACTTCTATTACCTTTGAGATAATCTATTTGGAAGACAACCACAGTCACATAGTATGATAGATATCAGCGATAACGTGAAGGTTAGAAAGGTTAGAAGGTTAGATCAACTAATGGAAGGTGAACAAAAATAGTTAAGAAGTTTACTGGAAACTGGTTACGATGGTCGAGCCGAAAGCCAAACGGACTCCTAAGCAGCTTAGACACATTGGGCTTCTTATCATTAGATGGTTCACTATTTGTATATATCTGTATATGATTCTCAAGGATAGAATGAAAAACAGCATAAACGTATATTAGTAATACATGACATTATATGTCTGGCACAAGAAAATTAATGACAATTCAAAGTGATGTCAACATTCTTCAAGCAAAATTTTCTATACAGAAGGACCCCAAGGTCATTGCCTCCTTGTGTTAAAGCTAAAAATGGAGTAATGTTTATAGTGGGTTCAGGAGGTTAGAGAAACGTACACAGCTGGAAAACTCAGTTAATGGCCATGGCAACTTAAAAATGAAAGGGTGAATAAATGATTCACTCTTGATAATATATCTGCAAAACCTCACCGGATTAAAAATTTTTTCGTACGAGTCATCGTCTATGCCATCCCTCAACGGGAAATTGACTGCATAGTACTTGCCTTTTCCTGCACCGATATCCTGAAATTAGGCAGAAATGTATGGTTAGCCAGTTGAAGAATGATTGATGACACAGAGACAGGGCTGATTATACTCTAAAACGGGACAGATCTACCCTGGGTTCACCAACCAGCATAATGAATTTATTCATGTCTAAGGAGGTCGAGTTACAAACAACTATAGTGATATGATGAAAAGCTCAGAACAACACTAATATGAAACAATTCTTTAAGAAAAACACTTGCTACATGCTAACCACATGCTAGAATGATGTAAGAAACACTAATTTTGAAACTAATTTTAATAATAGTGCAGCACTATGACAAAATTTCAGGCAGAAGCCTTCAAATGCAGAACATTAAATAAAAAAAATGACAAGCAAAGGACGTAGAGACATTGAGCCCATGACAATCAAACATTCAAGAGCCTTAGGCAAGAAAGCTACAAGCACAGAACCTACAGAAAGAAGCAGACAAGCGAAGTGCCAGTGTATAAAGAACCTAGAAGCGCAAATATGGATCATGAAAGCGCAAATAGGCATCAAACATACAGGCATCAGACATACAGGCATCAGACATATAGCCTCACTGTTTACAAGCAAAGCAATTGCAGGCGTTAGGCCGACAAGCAAAGATCGTACAAAGACAGTGATTCTACTTACTCGCAGGTCGCCAGTTCCTGGAAAGTACTCTCCATACTTGTGCAGAGAAACTGTCATGACTCGGTCAGTGGTATAGAATGCTTCTTCCACCCCATCACCATGGTGAATATCTATGTCGATGTACAAAACACGCTGATGGTACCTAGAAGATATCAAAAGCCAAAACATTGAGAAAAGCGAAGCAACTATGATAGTTTTCTAACATTGGTTTCAAATAAACAGAATGCAGTAAACTGGTTCAGTGAAATTGCTGCCATTAGTTCCAACACTTTTTCTTCTTTTCTGTTTAACCTGTTCTACTTGTATATCTGCTCTACTTGCAAGTTCTGCTTATTTTGTTATGGTTCTTGCTAAGAAATTAAACGATAATATAGGAAATATATTACCAACTCAGCACTGCAGAAAGAAACAACTTGATAAAGCATACTAAAGTTGAATTAAAATGAATTGTAAAATAACATATTCAATCAAAATAATAAATCTTTAGAAAACTTTCATTTAGCAAAGTAAAAAAGGTTTGAATGTTGGAGCATTCCTATGGTTGTGTTCTTTGTGTCATAATCTCAAATTATAATATATCAAAGTAACTGTTTTACATTCAGGCTACGTTCACACTACTCCCTCCGTATTCGCTTCGCTCCGTTTTCGTTGATGAAAACGCTGTCCGTTCACACTTATCCGTTTTCAAATGAATACGCTGTGAATACGATAGGTGTTCACACTACTCCACAAAAACGCTATTGGTGGCCTCAGTTTTGAACAGAGGCTCTCATGAGGAGGCTTCACCAAAATTGGCGCCAAAATTTGCCTCCACGCTGAACAAGAATTCGCAGAATAGACGAACAACAAAATGCCGCCGAAAAGAAAGGTAGGAGAAGAAATATTCAATTGGACAGACGATGAAACTGTCTTATTGCCAAATATCACTGCTGACTACAGGACACAAAACTTTCAACTGGTGTTGACTGGGAAAGCGTACAAGCCAAATACTGTCATATAGCAGAGGATGGCCGAGCACCTAAGAAAGCAACAAGAGAAGGAAGATACAGACAGCGACTACCCGCACGATTATGGGCAAGTAACATAAGAAAGGGTAGCAACCAAGCTAAAGGCAATGCTGTTGTTAGCGTATTCAAATGTCTCCGTTTTTGGTGCTCACACTGAAAACGGAGCGTATTCGAAAGTATCCGTTTTTATTAGCGTTTTCAAACGAATCCGTTTTCATAGCAGAGTAGTGTGAACGCAAGGCAAAAGCGGATTAGTTTGACTCTGTTTTCATATGAAAACGGAGTAGTGTGAACGGGCCCTCAGAAACACGGTGCAAGAAAGCCTGAAAATCTATGATTTGTGATGAAATGTAAATAGCCAGTCAACAATCATTCAGTTACTAACTGTCAAAAACAAGACATACTTAAGAAGCTCAAGGATGGCAAGCACAATATCGTTGACGTAACAGAATCCAGAGGCCTCCGACTTCTTTGCATGATGCAAGCCTCCTGACCAATTAACAGCAACATCTGTTTGCTGCTTATTCAACTTCACAGCACCCGCTACAAAATGAAATTCACATATATTCACATATCAATGTAAATAAACAGCACAAACAATAATGTGAATGGATGCAAGTGAACTTGAATTTCTAATTTGGCAACTGCACAAGAGCTGTGCCAAATAAGCTATTGTTACACTGAATAACTTAATCAAGCAAACACCAATAACTGGGTTCAGATGATTTTACTTGAATGTTGCTTTGATATGTGGCATTACTGTTTGTACTAACTTACTGCAATTGTAACTTGAATTGTATATATATCTTTTACATTTATCCTTTATTTTTCAACTTGTTGTTCTTTGTTTCAATCTCATGCAACATTTGTCAACTGGCTGTTTTTGAAAATGTTATAATGTTATATTTATGAATTAATCAAAGATTAACCTTTTATGATTGAAGCTTATGCAACGTCAGCACATTTAGTATGATTTATAGAAGTGAACAAAGTATAATCAAATTTTATGTGAAAGAGCATAACAATGATATGCATTATTCTACATGTTGGATTCATAACTTAAAGGTTTGATTTAATTACCAATTCAAGCAACTGAAAAGGAATTATCATATCAACATTTGTCAGAAGTAATGTTACTAGACAACATGCAATTCAAGTTAAATTGGGGTATATCAACATGACAAAGCTAGTCAAAATATCCTAAGTACATCCTCTCAAAAAGAGTATCTAAAGTTGGGTGTTCAATGACTAATTTAAATATGACTACATTGAGCTGCGACAGAGTAAACTGTATGGAAGCTGTCTCTTGTTCACACTTGTCACTTACCAACTGATCCTCCTGCAGAAAGCTGGCAAAACTCAAACATGCCATCAAAAACCGGGCAGTCCTCACCAACATTAACTGTAAATAGAAAAGAACAGGGGATATGCACATAAAGCAACTGAGATTATAGAAAGTTTTTTTTCCTAGACAGTTGAATTTCAAGTAGTGAATATATAAATTTAATATTTTTTTAATTGACAAGACAAATTTAAAAGATAAAAGTTGTTTAAACAAAATATACATGAATCTCAAATATTTCTGGCCACTAGAATATCTTTCATAGCTTCTTTGTCTAAAATCAGTTTGCCTGCTCTTACTATCTGACAGTGCTTTTTGATAGCTCTGTCTGAAAAGATCAACATTGGAAACTGTTTATGGAATTTTGGGAACCAGAATAATTTTCCATCAAAGCGAAAAGGGGTATCTAAAAAGACATAAAAGAATCACTTACATCTTTGCATTTGCTTGTTATATTCTGACATGTTTTCAGGTTTGATAGTTTTTAGAAATTTAATATAGTCATCTGAATGATACTTTGTCATCTCCTCTGCAGTAGCTTTGTGGGGTCGCTTAAAGATTAAAAATAATTTTTGTAAGCAGTGAACATAAAACTTTCCAGCTTCTGAAACTCATGATACTATGAGTCTACTGTAACATTCTGTGTTTACATTCGAAACAAAAGAAGACTATTAAAAAGATAAATAAAGTAAGACCAATTGCGAACTAAAGACTTAAGGAAAGAGTAACTAATCCTGTTGTTTTGTATAAACATAGACTGCTAGTACTATTATGATGATGTTGTAGTTGGAGAATATGGTATTGGTTTCTGAGGCATAATCCTAGTTGAGGATGCTTTGATGAGTTTTCACTAACTCTTTCAGATTGCATGTGACAAAAAGAAAACAAGATTGTTCCACTGTTACAAAATCTGATCCATCTACCAGTGGTGGCTTGCAGGGTACTAGTGGTACCAGTCTAGTACCATTTTATTTTGAAAGCTAGAAATACTTTTGTATTGAATGATTTTCCGTTTTTCTATGATAATTGAATTAATGGCAAAAAAGGGAAGAGTACACCATATCTTAATTTTGACCTTCCTTATCTTAACTCCCATTGAAAATTTGACATTGA